ACACACACACACACACACACACACACACACACACAGAGAGAGAGAGAGAGAGAGAGAGAGAGAGAGAGAGAGAGAGAGAGAGAGAATCTAAATCCTGTTTCGGTTGTGCCTGCTCTTCATTCCAGAAGGATTATACTAGAATTCAAATAAAAGTAAGGTGCAACAAATAAGTAATAAATCGGCTATCCTGAATTTGAACCAGAGCCCTCGCCCGTGAAGAAAGTCACCCTGGACGCAATGTGATTTTGAAGGGGGAGAGAACCGACACGGAGTTGTGTTTGTGTGGAATTTTATGCTAATCTAGCGGCCAGGTGGCTCGCATATCCTTAGCGAGTCAGACACAGGGGGTCGGAAGTGTTTGAATTAGGATAAATACGACATTCACCGCTCCTCGAAGCAAAAGTAAATACATTGTTTTATACTGTGAATATCATATTGTAGTAAAACGTCTTCATTCCCCTTCTCACCAATTGGCAGTTCGGTGATAGGTAGTGTGAAGCGGGCATTATTGAAATGCCCAGATGCTCGGGTACGGCACGTTCATGTCTTCTCCTACCATGTCTTATAAACTCTGCAAATTCTCTCCTACCATGTATTATAAACTCTGCAAATTCCGTCTGGATACGATGCACAGACTGACCAAGAAGGTTCATTATGTGTTTCGTTGTGTAAATGGAAAGGCTGCATTGGGTTCTGGGGATCAGCACCCAGCTTCGTGGTTCATGGCCCTTGTAGAAAGTGGGGAGGAATTCTGCCATCCGCTGGTGGGATCCAGTCATGATGACATATAATTATGAAATCCAAAACGTGGCAAAATACCACTGGTCATTTCGTAATTCTTCAAAATTAGTAACTCCTGCAAATCCATAAATCATAGAAGAGCCGAATAAGAAAATCCCAGAGGAAAAGGGACCTGAAATGAAATATTGAAATCCAGTGTCTATAGAGAATTCAGAACCCAACCAAAAGTGGTCTTGCATAATTAAGTCTAGATTGTAAAACTGGGGAGTTGCGTGTGAGGCATGAAGCTGTTTGGAACAGAATTAAGCTGTCTCGAGGTTATGTGGACTAGATGAATCAAATGGAGAGTGGGGAGAAGCAGTGAAGGCATGGGTGGAAAACCAAAACAAGGTATACCCTTCTCTGGTGACTATGTCTGGTTGCTGGCTGTGCTGCAAAGATCCTGCCACTCCTCGTGACGGAAATGCTTCTTTGCCACATTTCTATACTCTATTAAAGGGAGTAGGGGGTCTCGCGTGACGCCAAAGTGTGCCTGGGGGCCCTGTGTTGGGAAATTGGCGCGGACAAGGTGCGGGCCCATCGGGAACTTGCACGGAATGCAGTTTCCCCCCCCCCATTCGTGCGAGTTTGAATGGTGGTGAGTGCGGGCCCCAAGGGGAACTTGCACAGAATGTAGTTTTGTTTTTCCCATTCGTGGGAGTTCGAGTGTGGCATGGTGGAAGAGCATGGACGCGGGGGAAGTATGGCCGTGTGCTTCGCTTTCATTCCGGAAACTTCGTACGCAGAGGGGAAAATCGAAAACGGCTGCGCACCACCCGGAAGTTTTTCCACCACGGCACGTTGTTGTCGAATACAGACACACGTGGCAGTGTATATTTCCATGTTCAAGCGGTAGATTCATTCAATTTTGCTCGACCTATCGATGGAAGTACCAGAGCTCAGCCGCGAGGTTGGAGACTTAGGTGTTCTCTTCTCTCTCTCCCTCTCCCTCCCTCTCTCTCTCTATTTCCATCCATAGGATGAGCAAAATGGAATGAATCTGTCGCTAGAACATGGAAATATACACTGCCAATTTTTCGGTCTTTGGCAGTGCAGATTTCCGTGTCGTGGCAGTGGATAGTTCCGTGTTTCAGGGGAAGACACATACACACACACACACACACACACACACACACACACACACACAAACACACCTCCTGATGAGTCGGTGAAAGTCCGATGAAACAGTCTGGTATAGTCGTGCTTTTTTTGAGTGAATAGCGAATATGACAACACACACGCACACAAATAGTGTGGCAGTGTATATTTCCATGTTTTTCTGGCTGAAGATTCATTCCGGATTTGCTCATCTTACACACACGCACACAGACCGACGTCGCCACGCTTCACCAAATGAGGAAAATGAGATTCACTTCCACACTTTTTTTTCCCTTCTTTTTTTGTGTGTCTATGTGCGTCTTCCCCTAGAACATGGAAGTATCCACTGCCACAACATGGAAATATACATTGCCAAAGACCGAAAATGTGGCAGTGTATATTTCCATGTTTTAGCGACATATTCATTCCCATTTTGCTCATCCTATGCATGGAAATCTCTCTCTCTCTCTCTCTCTCTCCCTCCCTCCCTCCCTCCCTCCCTCCCTCTTGCCGGGACATTTGCACCTGACAGCTCATTAGTCCATACTCACACCGGGATTTCTTTTCAATGTATCTGTCCGTCGCGGTGTAACTTCCTATGTTCTTGCGGAAGATTCCTTCTCATTTTGCACATCGCCAGGTTGCTCATTTGAAAAAAAAAAGTAAAAAGTGTGGCAGTGCATATTTCCATGTTCTGGCTGAAGATTCGTTCCGATTTTTCTCATCCTACACACACACACACAGACCTACATTGCCACGCTTCCTGCCGTGTATAGACAGGACTGGGGCGCGGCTTCGCCGTGCTGGGTCCATTTGTTTCGTTAAAAGTTCGAATGAATTTATGTGTTTTGCATTTTACCTGTTCACCCATTTTTCACTCTCCCTTTGTTCTCTCATATGGGCCAGTTCATCCCTCGGAGGTCTGATCAATGTCAGCTTGTGATAATCTTGCAGGTCACACTTGCATTGGACTGGCTTGTGGAGAACTCTCCTCACAAACTTGCAGCAGCAATCATCTTGAAGGTGTGCTAAGCTCTCTTTGTCTTGGTTCCCTTTTTCTGATCGGTTGCAGATCAGCGTTTCGTTCTTGTATTTTGGAATATGTTTGCAACACATTCTAGCCAATTTTTGCTGGGAAAGCTTGTAAAGGTACTTTGCGGGGCTCCTAGTCGTGCCCGAGTGCACGGAACATGTTTGCTTCAGACTGTGTGCAATGTTATAGAGGGTCGAGATTCGGCGGTTTGCAGTGCACTGGAATTGCTGTCACTGCACAGAAGCTTCTCCCTTGTCTTGCTTCCTCATGTCCCCACTCTCCCTGGCTGTCCTCACCCCATCGGAGGTGTCCCCTCTCCGTGTTTCCACCCCTTAGTTCTTTTCCCACGTGTTATGATGTGTGTGTGCCCCTGACTTCCTCACTCCCCTACATTTCTTGTCTGAGATCTTTCTTGATTGAACCTTCTCCTCCCCTAGTTTCTCCTCTCTTTCTTGTGTGGAAAAAGGAAATGTTTGCAGAAATCTTTGGTGAAGAATTTCCTTATGGTTGTACATCGTGTTTTGGGTGGTTGCAGTCCCTCGTGGGGGCTCTCACGGATGTCATGAGCCAAATACTCTGTAGAGATGTGGCTGACGAGCGCACTGCTACTGTGATGGGCTGTGCTTGCTTTTGAGCAACCATCCCTGAAACAGTCCGTCAGAGCCTGTTTTCCAAGTTCAGTTTTCCTGACAAGTTGCATATGAAGGAGATGATAATGGAGGAGGAAGTGGCAAGTAGAAGGAAGATATATGGATTTCAAAGAGGTGACATGAAGAAGAACATGACGAGGAGTTCCCAGTGGCCTCAAGGAGATGACATGAAGAAGAATATGACAAGGAGTTTCCAGTGGCTGCAAAGAAATGACATGAAAAAGACTATGACAAGGAGTATCGAGTGGCTACGTATTGTACCCTGGCTCTCCCAGTTAACCAGTGATTATTAAATATACCAGAAGAAAAGAACACAGGAATGGTCCAAAGGAACTAATGTGCGATTTGCTCAGAGGGTTAGATAGCGGATATCTATCATTGTCTGCTTGGTTGTAGTAAAGTGTCCAATTACGAGAGAGGACTTTAGACTATGGAGATGACTCACTGGTAGCCCATTCCTTGTGGGCAATCTTTTCCATAACCTGGTAAGAGCATCGTTATGGGCTGTTTGGAACTGTTGATGTTGGGAAAGGATATGGTAATATCTGGGGTGTGGATATCTATAGCAAGTGGAGATGGGTGCATACACTGCATATCTCCAGAGTGATTTATGTTGTTTTTGTATCTGGCAAGAGCGTCAATCTCTTGAGGCGTCCGAAGAACCCTCTGTGTGCAGTGTCTGACAAGAGTCGGCGAGTCTTGTGGAAAGCTTATAGTGAGATTCTCATGCACAAATGTTATTTATTAGGACTTTTAGGACTTAGGTTACTTGCCATAGGTTGTTAGCCTAACTCGATCAAAGCTGAGTATATTGTTGACGGTGAGCCTGGTTTCAGCAGCTGGAGACGTGATATTCTTTGTTGTAGCGTGCACGAGGGAGAATATGACAAAGAGGAAGAGGTTGGTAGTCTGTTCACCATCATTGCAGCCGAGCCTATTTTGTGGAACTGATTCTGGAAATCCCAAACCTCGAGTACAGGTTGGTGAGATGAAAAAAAATGAAATGGCTGTGCCGTAGCTGTAGTATTTCTGAGGAGGCCACCAGACCACTGCCAGTCCAACCCATATCCTCCATCTGCAAGGTTGCATTATTTGGGGAGAAGGCGTGGGGGTGCGGGTTTCTGCTGGTGGGCTAAACTCGAGATTGTTATGGATTGACCGGCAGTAGTGAGCAGGAAGGAACATCCCAATTGGTAATGTCATCCAGAAACCTGGTTGCCTGCCATGGACAACAAATATGGAGTTCAGGGAGAGGCCCGGCATTTGTATGCTTATGAGGGCATCTGGGCCTCCAGCGGGGACAGCAAATAGAAAACTTGAGGGATGGCTGATGAGGTCAGGAAGCTAGAGCAAGCCCGTAAGGTGGCAAGGCCACCAGCAACCAGGCGGTCAAAATCAGGCGAAGTCGATCCTTGCTGCTGTGCAGAAAGCGATGGCAGATACCAAGAAGGGGCAGCAACAGCATCATGGAGAGAGCAGAAACAAGGAATCGCCACTACACGTGTGGATCTCAGATGGAGAATAGCAACAGAAGGCCTGGGACAGGCTGCGAATACCGACCTTCCTGCTCATTATGGCTGGTCAATCCATAACAATCTCGAGTTTAACCCACCAGTAGGAACCCGCATCCCAGGGGGGAGAGAGAGAGAATGCATTGACTGATAAACTGAACCTACCTATGTAAGGGCTGAGATCCATTTTTCCCTCGCTAGAGGGAATGCATGTTTGAGAAGGCATAATAGACAGGCAAGAGGGTGAAAAAAATGGATCCTAGCTCTTATGTCGGTGGGTTAACTTATATCAGTGACCGTTATCTATGACTCCATCTCCCCCTCTGTCTCTCTTTGTTGTCTTCTCTTTCTCTCTCCTCTTTTCCCCCGCTCCCACTCACACTGCCATTCCCTCTCTCTCTCACTCCCCCCCTCTCTCTCTCTCCTCCAGCCTCCCTGAAACTCTCTCATTATTTTCTCCCCCATCCCCCACCCCCTCTCTCTTTTTGTCTCTTTCTCTCAGAGGCAGTGGGAGGGACATTAGATTGCAAGTCATGCATTCTCTTGAATATGGTGCCATATTATTTTAGACGCGTGCTCTTCACTGTCTTTATGGAAGCTGTGGCTGCACCTGGGTCCCGACGTCACGCCCGGTTTGGTGACCGGGTGACCGGCCTGGCATGATGTTACATGCTGCGCCTGCACACGAGGGCCATTTTCCAGGCCCTGCGTCCCTCAGGCTGAAAGCCTGAAAACCAGGGCCTACAGGCCCCATGTCTGTTCAGCCCGAAAGCCTGAAAAACAGGGGCCTACAGACCCTGTGTCGTTTCAGACTAAAAATGGCAATAGCCTTTTTAGTCTGAAACGAAGGGCCATTTTCGGTCGTTCATCAGAACGACCGGCCCTGAAACTCAGGCACTGAACCAGGGTTTCGGGAACAGGCTATTCTTAGCCTGTTCCCACGACAGCCTCAGCAGATGCTGCAGCGCCAGCCCCTGGCACACTTCGGTATTGGCAAGAGCAGCCTCCTCGGCCTGGCTTGGCCTGCAGGCAGTCAGGAGACAGGCCGAGGTAGTACATAGGGACTTCCCATGCACTTCACGGGTAGGCAGTCAGTAGTCTTCAGGATTCGGCAGCAGCACTCGGGAGGGAGCGCTGCAGGAGTAGTAGTAGCGTTAGCATTAGTTTTCAGCGCTGGGCGCCAGTAGGTAGCTGTAGTCTTCAGCGCTGGGCGCCATAGCTAGGATAGCACTAGAGAGAGAGAGATTGGGCGGAGGCCAGGAGTACTTACCTGCAGCGCCGTTGCTCCAGCTTCGTCTTCAAGGTACCTGCAGCACAGCGCCAACTTCACAGTATCTGGCTCGTGACAGAGAGAGAGTTCTTTTTCTTCCTCTTCTCAGTCCACCATCTCCCTCTCACCCTCTCCTTATCTGACTTCACTGCATCAGCAGACTACGAGAGAAAGAGAGAGAGAGAGCTTGGTGACATTGGATCCAGACTCGACTTTTGGGCTTCAGACATTACGACGAGGGGGGATTATTTGGGACTTGTGACAAAGACTTGGTGTTGACGACATTCCCATCTCTCCCCCTCTCTTCGTCTGATCCCCTCCTCTTCGTCTCTGTATGTCTGGACGTGGCGCTTGCTTCCTGTGTACAGCGCCAGGCTCCTTCACAGCTTGTGATGGGCACGATGTATGTTTGGTCTGCGTTCAAACATTGATTGGGCTAGTCATTAGCATTCTAGCATTCTGCTTCGCTATCTTATACTACGTGAATGAGGTCAGTCCTGGTCAGGTCAGGATTTGTATCTCTGTCTTCCCTGCGCTATGCAGCACCATTTTGTATGTATCAGAATGCACATTGCTTGTTGAGATTCTACTTGCACTGCATTGTCCATTATTGAAAAAGAAAAAAACGGCAGTGGGGTTTTCGGTGCTCTCCGAGAGGAGCCCAAATCCGGGCTCTTTTCTTTTTTTGAGTGTTGGCTGTAAAAGGGGGGGAAGGGGAGTATAAATGAATTTTGAAGGCGCTAAAGGGGTTTAAAAGGGGGTGCCTTAGTGTGATTTGGTTATTTTCTTTTTTATCTTCAGTTCCATGAGGAATTCTGATGTGACCCTCAGCCAAAAGTTGTTTGTATTGCAATTCTACACAACATTTTTTTTTTCAGACTTTTTTGGAGTTTTTTTTTCGCTGGGGTTGCCCGGGCCCACGCCCTGGGGTCATGTGTTACATGCCCAGTTGGGYGATGTACATAATAACCGAGGATC